TACAGATGATTGGCTCTTTTCTGCCTCACTAATCCAGCACATTTTTTTCAACTCGGATCACTGCAATATGAAGCACTGTCATTCAGTTATAGGAGAGCACGTGTGTGCAAATTGAGACTATTAGAAAATAATTCTAATGGAATTGACTTCTGACACAGTATACGTTTACTATGACCAAAGCAATTTAGTACTTCAGATTTTCATTCAAGAAAATGAACACGTTTTATCATATCTGATGGGAGATTTCTTCTGGGAAGTATGGAGTATTCTAAGGCTGATTTCTGTAGCATATCACTATTTAACTCCCAACACAGATGAAATTAGATAGGTTGCCATAGGACAAGAGTATCTTTTTATAACTGAGGAAGTAGGAAAGGGAGGGGCTTAAAATGTCTTCTCTTTGAACACAAGGAATGTGGTCTAATAGCTTTTTCTTAAAGAGAAAATACCTATACAATAGGTAAATCTGGTGAATGAAAACCAGAAACCTCCCCTATTTCTCTCCCCAGCCCCTCAAATATTTTCAGGTACGTAAATCAAAGAGAAACAGATTAAGGTGAACAGCAAGGCATGTTCTGTACTCAAAGCAAGATCAATCTTTATACATAGATCCTTTTTTGGAACTGATGTAGAAAATTCAAAAGTGGAGGTACTTTGGTCTTCAAATAACCTAATCTGCATACCAGATGTATTGAAGGGGGGGAAAAATACAGACACTTTTACACACACACACACACACACACACACACACACACACATATTTAATGTGAGCATAGAAAAACAGATGCTTTTGCTTCCAAGGGAACTGTGGGCCTCCCTTACATAGTCTTGTGGAGCAATTTAACTTCAAGTTTCTAAATTTATGAAAATGTCTAGATAAGTATTAAACTGAAAAAGAAAGGGCCTCTTACATAGCAAACCAAATGAACATTTTCTGAATTATTTTTAACTCTTCAGTGATACCCAGCCCCCAATTTCATATATAAGTGGATAGGGGAGTCAATAAGGGGAAGTCTTCTCCAGAGGGGTAGACTATGATTCACTGGCTTCTTTAAGGAATACTTTAATGCTCTTTTATGTGCACAACTCAGTGTGTTAGTATGTAAGAGCTTTTTTTTCTTCTGCAAAGGAAACTGTTGTTTAAGTTTCAGTAAATGATGATTGTGGTATTTTTCCCCCTTCAGGTCCTATTTGTGAAGATAAAAATAGATTTCCTTAAAACAATGAATTTATCTACATTTCACACATTTCCTCTTATTACATTTATCATATCTGCCATCATATTAAGCCATCCATCATCTCCAACAAATCTTACAAAGGCACAGTGAACATAGTGCATGGATCGGGGAACTTGGTATTTCCTTCTTCAATTTCACTGTAGACTATTAAACAGCTTTTATACTTGAAGTTCTGAAACTAATTCAGAAAAAGCTATTATAATTACCATAAAAGCAAAGTTGATCATTCTCTTGGTTACCAGAGTCATTAAATAACTGAAGGTACAATCTATGCTTATTCATCTATAATAGATGGAAAATATGAAGATTTAGGACTAACTGAAAAAAAGTTATTTTGTATATCATATAATGCACAACCCACCTATTCCATCCTTACGCCCACAAGTCCTGTGCCAAAAATTCAAAACAGGGCAAGACCAAGAGCAAAACATTACACTTTTTGCAGTGAGGCTTCACTCAGTTCATATCAGTAGGATCAGGCTGCCCCAAGTAAGATTCCAAGATAATTGAAATGTACTCTCTTAAGTATTGAGATTTTGAGCACTTTTGATGGAAAACTTCTCTAAAGCACATGATACATATCCCTGGGTTTTTCCAGCAGAAATTACTGAGCGCAATAAGCCATACCCTGATGACTCAGACATTCACAACGAACATCCTTGATTATACTGCGCAGTAGTACAATGTTGTACAATGTTTTAAAAATCCTCTCCCTCTCCTTTAAGTCAGTCTGTCACTTCCTCTGCTGCTAATGTACCCCTTTCTAATATTACCCCTCCCTCCATGCACATCGCTTCTAATTTGTAGCTTTTCATTTACTGTGAACTGAAAAAACAAGATTGGTAAGAACTGTATGTTAAATAAGAGTTAAGAAGGCACTGAAAATAAGGATGAGGAAATAATTATGGCCTTCAAGGCAGCAGCTTTGTGACACCTAAAGGTTTCTATCTTAAGACAACTTTCTCATCTCTTCCACTTTAAGCTGTTTTGAAAGGGTGAAGTTGTGAGGGAGCTCCCTTCAAATAATTGAGTTTCTTCTGAATAGACCATCTGGGCATGGACTAAAGCAGATATTCCAATAGCTTCAAGTTTTACTGAACCTAAAAAAAGTCAGTGAATTACCTCTTCCCACAGTTATTTAACATCACATAATTACACAATGCACATCCCAAACACCTTGTTAGATGTTATTCAGTCTAATCTTGACAACACTGCTGAGAAAGGTGAATGATTTGCCCACAGTCATACAGTAAGTACATGACAATGTTGGGTTTCTAGGTTGTCATTCAGGACACTTCTCACAACACTAAGGTTGTCCATGACTTTCTCTCACTTTTCCCATGTTCAAAGGGACACTAAGCCCTGCACTGGTGAGAAAGACTTACTCCGTTTCCTTTGGGCTTGCTTCTTTATTTTTCTCTAGGGTCTGCCAGACGTCTTTAGGAATCTTGCTCATTTTTCTGGCAGAACTAAAAACCTTCTGATTTTATTATCTTGAGGGCTGTCAGTGAATTAAAAATTCAACAAATGTATGGTCCCAACTTGCCATCAAAAGTTAACAAATGTCACCAGTAAGAATGTTTCTCACAAGCAGACACTGAAGAATACATCCCAGCAGATACATAACAGCTCATTTTGTGTCATGGCAGCATGAAAAATCACCTCCTCAAGACATTCATTAACCTTGCATTTCCTCCATAAATAATCAGTCAGAAATGTGGCTCATATTTTAAATTAATCAAAACCAGTGCTTTCACTCATGTGTGTTCCCTCTCTCTCTCTCTCTCTCTCTCTCTCTCTCTCCTTGAAATGAGTTGAGGCCTTCTCATGCCAGCATATTTGAATATATGATTCCACTTATGGGCCAGCTTAAACCTCATCTCCTCCAGGAAAAGCCTTCCGTATCCATCCCAGCAGGTCTCAGACACCTTTTCTCCCAGGGCCAAGAGCAGTTACTGGTATTTGACATTTAATACATACTAAGAAGCCATGTAATGTACATCCAGAAATATGGGTTCTAGAGGCAGACAGACCCAGGTTCTAATTCCAGCTTTACCACTTCCTAGCTGTGTGCCTTGGGCAAATCGCATAAACTCTCCTTAGTTGAGATTCCTCATCTGTAAAATGAAACTAATGATATTTAATCTGTTAAATTGTCCTAGGGATTAAATACACATAAAGCACCTAGCACAGTGCCTGGCAAATATTAGGTACTCAATTAAGGGCAGATGTTTTTATTAGTAGTAGTAGTAGTAGTAGTAGTATTAACTTTGTATATAGTTCTGGTTTGGTCTGTATGCAATTTATTGTTTTCACAAATTGTTTTTAAACCCTTTGACAGCAGTGTCCAGAATGGAACTTACCGTGAAGCTTAAGCTTAATGGCCTTTTACTTGCATGGGTCTTTCCAAGGCCTTATTGAAAATATTGTATGTGTAATTTTGTATTATTTTTCTTAAAGGGGTCTTCTAAAGTGGTATTAGCATCAGGTCTGTACAAAACCTGGTTCCACCTCTGGTTGTGTCTTTAACCTCTATATTATCCCCTCCTCATTCCCACTCCCTGTACTCAGCAGAGTATTTTACACATAGTTGGTACTGAATAAAATGACATTTTATAAAATCCTCAATTAACCAGAATTTTTGCTCTCCTCAGCTATCTGTACATAAGTTTATGTCAGGTATTTAGTCAAAACTTCCAAATGCCAATCAATACATTTGGTTGGAAAACATTCAATCTATTTACATATTTTGAGAAAATAAAAATGCACTTGATAAACTGTAAGGCTATTATTAGTACAATGTTATTCATGGAAATTATGATAGCAATGATGACCTAAGACAGGAATTCTCGACCTCAACCTTATTCACATTTTTTTGTTGGATAACTATTTGTTGTGGGAGGCTGTCCTGTGCATTGTAGGATGTTCAGAAGCATCCTTTGTCTCTACCCACTAGATACTAGTCACCCCTCCCAAATGTGACAATCAAAAATGTCTCTAGGCATTGCCAAATGTCCCCTAAGGGAAAAACCCCTTCCCTGCCATCCTAAGGCATCACATTCAGCACCTAAAGATATACAGGTGGTCACAAGTTTTTAGTATTAATACAGGAAAAAAGAAGGTGTTTTCAATAAGCAAAAGCGACCTTGATTAACCTGAAAATCCCATTAACCCCATTCTTTGACTGTACTATTCCCTAAGCATTCCTGATTTAAAAAAAAAAAAAAAAAAAAAGTACTGTACATTCTATTTTCTAATTCGTATGCGAAGTTCAGCCCATTTGCCATCTCAACAGCTAAGTACAGAAATCCAGTTCATGGGTGGGGGAGTATCAGCTTCATTGCTTTTGTCATCTATTTTAAGTGACAATGATGCTACTGACCTGGAAATTTAGAGAGCTTTTTCTCCCTTGTTGACATTTTTAACTTTGATATTAGCAATTCTTTCTGTACTCTCTGCCTGAAAGTGAAATCTGGTCCAATTAACTGTGATTATATTGTATAAAGACCTAACACTTTGTTCATCATTTAAAAGTAATTTGTTCTAGCCATCCCATTGATTGTGCAATTGAAAATGTCTTTCTTGAATAAACAATATTTCTTATTCTTTCTGCAGGTTGTGATCCTGGGGAAACATTCAAGAGGTTATCACTACATGCTTGCTAACCTGGTAAGAACAAGCAGAGTTTAAGTTTCCCAGGGCAATGTAGTCTCTTTAGTTTGTGTTATCTGTAATCATCCCAAAAGGAAATATATGAAGTACCTAATTTGTTCTCTAGACATTTGGAGAAATGAGTCAGTAAATACGAAAACCTAAATGTAATAGCCTTGTTTTCAATTATGTAGTCTCTATTTTAGCTGTGAAGCTTATATTCTCTCCTCATTTAAAAAATAATAATTTGATATGATTCTTCACTGATTATTCTTAGATTCAATTTGGATTTGAAATGTAAATCATTTTACACAGGCTTAAAATGTAAGACAAGGGATGGGAACACAGGAAACTGACTCTTTCTCCAATTAATCCACTCTTACATGCACATCAGTAATGGATTTATCTTTCCAGAAGTAGACCATTGCCAAATCTTTTCAAACCAGATGCTAGAAATAGGTTTAAACATGGAATATTAAGTGTATAGCCACCTTTCTACCTATAATAAAACATGACTTGAATCTTTACCTTCAAACTTCCCATGCCTTTAAAATTTGTGACACTCTAGAAGCTAGTATTTCATTTAGGTTCGTTTATAACTCTTTTTTCTCTAAAAGAACAATTGGTTTAGGAACTAACAAAATGGCTTCTAAATCACTAATATCTGTTTGACAGAGGTTCTGTATAATACCATCTCCGTGGAACAAAAGAAGAACATTAAATTATCACTATGATACTAGGAATCTATTAAATTATTACATAACCCCAATTTTGTTTCATTAGCACAATAAAATCATAATCATTACAGAACTCTTAAACCAAAAGAATGACAACAAAGGTGAAAGATTATTGCAATTATATTTTTAGATTTCTTAAATCAAAGAAAAATATTATTTTAATTATGAATATTTTTTAAATGATAAAGGAAATGTTACTTAAATCTTTTTTCTTAGGAAGTGTATACACTCAAACACTTTATAAAATGAAGATTAGAACTACTGCTTTGAAAGGTAGTGTGCATCTTCTCCAATAAATTGCTCAGAGTTGACCATTTCAGTCCATTTTGGGGATAAATGAATTGACTCTTTTAGGAGGAGAAATCTTGATTCTTAATTTACATCTGAATACATTCAATTTGCTTTTTTAGGCAACCAATAAGTAAAGGATGTTTGTTGACTCACTGGAGATTAAACCAGGGCTCGGCAGGAAACATGGAGGTCACCCAAGGCACCCAAGGCAGTTATTGATAGGTTTTTACCATTTCTTCCTCACCAATAAGTATTTTGCTTTTCTTTCTTTCTTCCTTCCTCCCTCTGTCTACCTTTTCCTTCTCCTCTGCCTTTTAAGTCCTAGGGCTTACTTATCACTGGCAGTAAATGATATGACTTTAGGTAGTACACACACAAACATTTTTATTATAATGGTATTGTATTTATTTAATATAAATACAAAATATATAAAACTAGCACATCAAAATCCAAATTTGGATTTTATTTGGATATTATTACTTCATACAGGGCTAAAGTAGAGATTTAATAACAAGTGAAATAATTTTTAATGTGTCAAATATGTCACATAAATAATAGTATGGGGGATAAATAGATAACAAAACCTGTTGTGTTGCTGTTTGTATACATGACTGTGGTGGTACTTAGACCACTGAACTTTGGGAAAGCATTGAATTGGGGATCAGAAAGTTCGGGTTGTTATACTAACTTTGCTATTAGCTAGCTATGGTACCTTGGGTAAGTCATTTCACCTTTGTGGACCTCAGATTCCTTACTGTAGAACTCAGATGTATTGGTTGAGTCCTTTGGAAACAGATGCTAAGATATAATTAGAAGTGCAAAACATTTATTGAGAGTAATACCTGTGAAAAATAAAAGGAAGAGGAATACAAGTAGGCAGGGAGAGCTTCAGACCACATTACAGGTCTGATATTAGTGAAGGAGGGGGAAAGGAAGGAAGTTTGATAAGAAGAGCCTCAGACTGTGGTAAAGCTCTGAGAAAGTCTTGGCGAGCACAGCTGGGAGCTCCTGTGCAAAGACTGAACATAGAGGAACCCCATGCTACCTCCGAAATGGCAAGCCATTTTACCCCCACACACACTTTGTTCAGCCATTGGCTGGCAGCTGCCCAGGAAGCACAAACCTCCCACTTGAAAGCTGAGGCAGAGCCTGACGGCACCTGAAGCTGGAGGCTGTGATCTAACTCAACTCTTCAAGGCACGTTCTGTCTTAAAGGGAGATCTGAGTCATGCACATCAACGGCTGTTTCAGTTGGCTTAAGATGACCAGATGATCTATAAAGACTTTTCCCATTCTATACTTCTGACTAGGCCTCCCTAATTCTACTGACAATCCTTCAGGTGAATTCTGGTATCAACTTTGAGACCCAGATGTGACAGAAATGTAACCCTGTGTGGTGAGAGAACTACAAGAGAGAATCACTAGGACAAGGTTGGGGAAAAGAATGATAAACTGAATGTTGAACACAGAACTGAGAATTATGAAACCTTGGGAGGATGTCTACTACAAGAATAAGCAAAGTTTGTTCCTTGAAAAAGGATGTAATGTATAGTATCATGTCAGCCTGGATAATTAAAACATGAACTCATCACCATGCTTTGAGTTGCCATCCTTTCTCTTCCTCTAGTGCCCTTCTGTTCATTTGAACACAGCCTTGTGTTTCCACAAGTCCTGTATTCTATATCACATTGCATATGGGCACTAGAGATAAGAATGTTTGCTAATCTCTGATGAGACAGATTATCCCTTCCATGGTTTTCAGACTTTTAAAGCAAATTAAAAATACTCCAAATCTCTCCACCAAAGACACATGTACACATACACACAGCAAACCAAAACTATTTAGATGGTCAAATAAGGGTAAGTGGAACTAAGAAGATGTTTCCTTTCAAGAGAGCCATCTGGCCATTCAAGATGAGCCAGCTGGATGAAAGCAAAGGACATATATACAGGGGAACAAATTCTAATCTGAGTCTTCATGTAACAACAGCACAGAACCACTGCCTGCTTCTACAAATGCAAAGTCAAAAACAGTCACACTGCTTACCTAAGCTTTCTGGAATCCCCTGCAGCATTGCCTCAAGTGTCCCCTTTGATAATGAGCTCCATGGATCTGGCAAAGACTTCTATGTGCTTTTACATGGACCTTCCCTGGTAGCAATCCTAAAGTGAGAAGACTTGGATAGTTCATGAATGCTTCAAAAAAGGGTTTCACATGCCAGGGTGTGCATTTCATAGTGGATAACAGCTGCCGAAAGTTTTAAATTGTTGAAATCCTTGGAAGAAACACAAGATTGCATCAGGAACACAGGCCAGAGATGTTATCTGGTCAGGCCAGAAGTGGACATCCCAATAGAGCAAGTAAGTCTCTTACAAATTCTGTATCAGTTGGTGATATCACTTCTTCTTACGGGTGGTTCCATAATTAATTGTTGTTTTCTCTTCCAGGACTCCCTCTAAGGTGGTAATGTTTCTCTACTCAAAATACCAGAGGTAACCAACATTTATAGATTTGTCACTCAAGCAACCTCTTTCTTTCATGGTAAGGTCTTGGATCAGGATCCTTGACACTGCATTGCCATGCATGCTATGTATTGTGATTTAATTATTTCATATATATCAATAATAGTGCACAGAACCCTATATCAACCGTAGGCATAATGAAAAAGGCACTAGCCTAGGAGCTAAGAACCAGGTTTCAACCCCAAGAATTCATCTAACTAGCCTTGTAATAAATCAAACCTCTCTGAAGCTGTTTCTTAATCTGTAAAATGGAGAGTTAGAGCAGATCACTATTTCCCAAAGCCTGCTATTTGTATATGAGATGATTTTAGGTAGTACATAGCAAAACTTCCTAAACTAATTGGTTTTGAATTTATATTAAGTGTGTATTAGAAAAAGATACTATCCCATCAATTCTGTGATTTTACAGATCCCATTTCTAAGAATGAGGCTAAAGTAGGCATCCAGGTTCAAAAACTTAGTCAATGTAGTCCTGGCTGGTGTGGTTCAACATTTAGAACGCTGGCCTATGCACAGAAGAATAGCGGGTTCAATTCCTGGTCAAGGGCACGTACCTGGGTTGCAGGTTCATGCAGGAAGCAACCAATCGATGTGGCTCTCTCACACTGATGTTTCTCTTTCTCTCTCTCTCTCTCTCTCTCTCTCTCTCTCTCTCTCTCATACACACACACACACACACACACACACACACACACACACACACCCTCTCCCCTGTCTCTTATCCCTCTTATTTCTCTTGCTGTCTTTTTTCTCTTTCCCACCCCATCTGCCTCATTCATATTAGTTTGCCAGGAAATAATGATGGGAGGAGTACTAGATTACATCTAATTTTTCCAAATTTTTACTAAAACAGAAACATTTTTTTCATAAAACAGAACCCAAAAGAGGCATCCAGGAGTAATGTAAGCCTGAAGAAGTGAACTCTGAAATCTTGAGAAGTACTTGAAACAGAGAAAAGCCCACTTTGTTTAGAGAGAAAACAAGTTTGAATAAGATTGAGTCATGTTTTGCTTGCCAATAATGATTGTTCCCTTCTGCTCCCTTCCTTGTCCCGGTCTTCTTGTTCTGTTTCCTACTCTTTCCCTCCCTTTGTTTTTCCATATTTAGTGTTCTAAATAAAAATTCAAATGCTCAAATCCACATGTTGTAACCACTGACACTTCAGCAGATGGCATGTAAACACAGAGCTCATTGGGCTGGAGCCTGACCTCACAGGCAAAGGAGGTGGGCTTGAAGGGAAAAACTCCCACCAGTCCAAAATGCCAGGAGGCCAGCCACCTCCCCTGGATACACAACCTTTCTGGTAACAGGAGTCACTTTCTTCTCAAATGGAAATAGGATACCGTAGAACACAAAAGGAATGAGGAGTGGGGACTGGCCTGGGGTCCAACTTTCTACCATCCTTTGAGAAAACCACAGGCGATTGTCAGCTTAAAGTACTCGACTTTGAGACTCATTCTCCCTGTCGAAAAATGCCTCTCTTAAAGTCATCTCTCTCTCTCTCTCTCTCTCTCTCTCTCTCTCTCTCTCCCTCCCTCCCTTACCCTGAAATCAATAAGGAAAGATCACTTCCTACCCAATATTCTAACAAGATGAGTTGAAAGAATTCTGCTTCCCCCAGACCCCCCAAACATATTTTCTAAAACAGTGCTTCTCAAACTATCTGTGAAGAAAAGCCAAGTTTTTCCCCAGATCTTCACAGACCAAGAAAAGTGTAACAAAAATAAATTACTAAAAAATAAAATAAGTAAAACAAGATATACAAAATATAAGCCCATTTTTTAGTATTAGATTCAACAGCCATAATATTACCCTGTCAAATTGCTATAAAGGCTTATAAGCTCAGTTTCTTTCCTTATATCATCTCAGACTGGAAACAAACAGCAGACCAGCACCATTCCACACACACTTTGGGCAATACTGCTCTAAAGGTCTTCATAGTAAGTTATATTTTCTCTATACCATTTGTATGCCCAATATCTTGTCCACTCTACTGCAAGAAAGACAGAAGATGTCCTTAAGAACCTTATAATCATATTGGACAGAACAAACTTGCACAGCTTATGATAATTAGCATGGAACTAGAACAGGTGCTGTGACGGAATGAAGAGATGGCAGAGTGTGGGCAGAGTACTCTGCATAGCTTGGCTAGAGAAGGCCTTTCAGAAAAGGTGACTTTGAAACAATGATCTGAATGTCAAGAAAGATCCAGTTAGATGAAGTAACAGGGAAAGTTCATGCAATGCATAGGAAACAGTATGTGCCAAGGTCCTGAGGCAAAAGAAGAGCTTGATACCTTCTCTGAACTTTCAGAAGGCACTTTTGACTAGAGTAGAGTGAGTGACAAGATCCAGATTGTGTAAGGCTGCAGTAAGCCTGCTTAAGGGGTTTTAGCTTTGTTCAACAGCAACAGAAAGCTATTAAAGAATTTCAAGAAGAGCAGGAGCATGGTTTGATTTTTGCTTTAAATCAGTGTCAAATAGATGGATCTTATGGTATTTAAATTAAACCTCAGTATAGTTGTTAATTAAAAAAAAAGAAATTAGTGGCTATTTTTCCCACCAATAGCACTATGTCAACTTGTAATTATTTGTACAAATAACTCTCAAGGACTAAAGTGCCATGAGTTCAGGGACCAAGTTTGATATGGCTCACCATTATACCAACAGATAGCACTTCAGAGGTTTGAAAGTATATTTGTTGATTGGATTAGAGAATAAAGCAGTGAGTGAATAATACAAGCAACTTGTAATCAAGTACTAATTTATATGGTGCAATCTTCAACCCTACATATTATCCCTTCTCAGGAGGATGAACCTGCTTCTAGAAAAAGATTTGTGTCTCTCATTAGCAACTTGATAACTTGAGTCACCACAATTACCATGTATTTCCCTATCAAAGCATGGCCCAAATGAACCATTCAAATGGCACTAAAGGCAAAGCCAGGCTTCATTCAAATAGTAAGATAGTTACTTGTCCTTGGCAGCCATCCAGCCCTCATTCTACCACTTTTATCTTTCATATAGGCAAACCACCTTTCCCATTTCTTACCCATAATCTACCATCAACTCAATGAAAGTCACTCAACGTATCTTGTGTGTTTTCCTCACTGTATACAAAATGTACCCTAATAATAGTATTATATGAAGGAAATCTCCACATAATATCTTTAAAATAAATACTGTAAAAGTAAGCCTTGAATATGCTTATTTCCAACTCTCAATTATTCACACTTCCAGAAGGAAACTGATTTGCAGTATGTATAAATCAAAGGTGATATGATAATACTAAAGTCATCTGAATCTTTGGAAGACTGGGTTGTGTGGCTGTTCTCAAATCAGGGACAATCTGTAAACACCGGGTGCCAGTTGTGCAACCAATGTCTGTGTAAACGGTGGGCGTGGAGAGCTAATCAAAGGTAGCTTACAAGGTCCTGTGTGAATGGCTTAAGCACAAAGGTCATGGTTGGTTTCATACAGTTGCATTCAGATGTGGGCAATAGTACACTGGATCAAACAAACAGATGTGATGTGGTTGCAAAGTGATACAACTGATGAGTTATAGCAGAACTTACAAATCCAAATGAGTAGTTTCCCTCTCAAAGGAATAAATTCTGGAGATTATATCCATATGTCCAACAAATATTACTACTGTTGCACAGAGGCAAATAGTCAAGTGCACTTAGAACATAGAAAGTGAGAAAGTAGTTTCTTTTTTTTTACTTTATCTTTATTGTTGAAAATTTTCCCCATTGACCCCTTCCACCGCGTATGCACGCACACCCCCAGGCCTTCACCACACTATTGTCTTTGTCCATGGGTCATGCACATATGCATATAAATTATTTGGTTAATCTCTCCCCACCCACCGACCCCTTCCTTCCCTCTGAGATTTGTCAGTCCGTTCCATACTTCTATGCCTCTGGGTCTATCTCTTATCCTTTGAGACAGCATGGAGGAACCTGGAATGTATCATGCTAAGCAAAATAAACCAGTCAGAGAAAGACAAATATCACATGATCTCACTCATATGTGGAATCTAATGAACAAATTAAAATAATGAACAAAATAGAGAAAGTAGAGTTTCAAATTACCCTACGTGTGAGCAGTAGGATTGTCTGCAATATTTGTCTTCTCTTATCTCTTTTTTTTCTACTTTTTTAAAAATTTATCTTTATTGTTGAAAGTATTACAGATGTCTCCCTTTTTCCCCTCTTGACCCCCTCCACCCAGCTCCTGCCCCTTCCCCCCCACCAGGCCTTCAGCACACTATTGTCTGTGTTCATGGTGATGCATATATGCATGTAAATTCTTTGTCTCTCATCTCTTTTAATCTCTCCCTCTACACACAGTTTACAGAGCCAAGCAAAGGAAAAGATACCACTGTGGCAGTTAGCTTAAAAAACAATTGCAACCAAAGAGAGTTGGTGAAATGTAAGGAGCACTAGAATTTGATAAGTCTAGTCTAAGCATACAAAAATCATAGAGTATCTGATCATCACTTCTAGTTATTAAAATCACTATAAAAAATAAAATGGGCTCAACAGAAATTTCACTTAGTACAGTAGGGGATTTGGAATCTTGGAGTCATTTAGGAATGGTATTGTGGCATATACACATACTTATTACACAGAAGGCATGGGAAGGCATGCTATAATAAAGAAGGACAAAAGCTCTTAAGAGTCAACAATATGCAAGAGCCTGTGTAATAATTGGGGCACAAAGAGAAGCACACATTGGCCCTCTTACTACCTGATAGAGATTACAGTAATAAACTTGATATTGATGTTTTTCATCATTATTTTACTAAATGAATTATTCTGGAAGAATGAAATTTCAATAGAGATAGCCAGAGCTGTAAGTGATGAATGAAGTAGGAGCCCTTTCTAGACAAAGGAGCCACGCCAAGGTTAAACAGGGCATGATGTGATTAGTGCATGAGGTCTATAGAAAGAAATGGTGTGGATGAGGCCAGGGGAGCAGAACATAACATAAAATGGAAATCTTGAAGGCCAGCTCAAGATTTCCAGCTGTTAATATGACTGTAGAAAAAGTAGAAAATCTTTGCAATAATTTTAGGAAAGGAGTATTGTGCACTAACTGGTGTTTTAGGAAGGTAAATTTACTGTGTGAAGAATAAACTGGAGAAGTAAAGAGCTGGAAGGAGTACCACCTAGGAAGCTAGGAAAATAATCAAACCCACTTGTGCTTCAAAGTCACCTGATGAGTGTATAAAAATACAGGTACTTGGACCTCACCCAGTGACTCAGCAGGCCTAAAGTGCCATTAATTTAAAGAACAGATACATGAAGAAGAAGGGATTTTTGAGGGAATATAATATGAGCAAGAATAATGATTTAAAATACAAGGATCAGAGGAGGAGAGCCAGGCCTCTGCCCCTAATACAACCCTGCCTACCATTTGTCCTTTTCCCAAAAAATTGCTCTTACCATCATTTACCTATTCGTCAGCTCTGATGAATTAGTGTTTTTACTGAAGTTTTAGGAAGAGTCAGGCTTCAACTTTCAAAATGTCATGCACTATGCTTGTCCACAGCTACAACAGAATATAGCAATATGTGAAAGAAAACAAAACATGTTTTAAAGCAATAGAACAGAGGTGGAAAGGAGACTAAGAGGCAGACAACTTCTGTTCCACTGCCAACAACTCTGTCTTAACTCCCTTCTCCTGTTGTTCTTCACCCTTTTATTTTATTTGTCTGCCTATTTTATGTGTTTGGTGGTTGTTCCTTTTACATTAGTTTTTTACAGAGGATTTAGAGCTACTTAGCATTTACATCCAAATTTGAGTTTGGTGTGTTGCCAATTCAAAAAGGGAAATCTAGCAATTTTAATTTTTTTACAATATTGGGAGCTGTCAGTGGCCACTTGAACTGTGGAATTTAGCAATATTTGATACAAAACTAAAATTATTTTTCAAGGTATCAGAA